TTTCCCAGAACCCTGACGGCCCTGGGAGTGTGAGGTGTGTGTCTGATCTGCAGGTGGGGAGGGGAGAGAAATGCTGGCAGAACCACTGTCAGGGAGTGGGTCCAGGCCACTGCCACTGGGGCTGTCTGGGCATTTGCAGCCTGGAGGGAGACCTGTGCCACCTCACTCCACCCCAGTCCTCTCTCCCACCCCTCCCCCAGCGAGGCCGCTCCATCCACAGCACAGCTCTACTAGACCAAGGAGGGTCCCAGCCTCCAGGACCTGCCTCTCTGAGGCTGCCCCTGTCCGTGCGGGGCCCCTGCTGAGGTTAGATGGGCACAAAGAGAGGCCCTATGTGTGATGGAGGAGATGATGGGTGCAGCAGGCCCCTGCCCCGTGCAGAGGAGAAGAGAAAGGAAGGCAGTGGGTTCTGAGAATGGCCTGCGGTGAGTGCCTCTGTGTCCTGGGCTCCCTGCATCTTCCCGTTCCAGGTGTACCTCCTGTGGCTTCATCCAGCGGCCAAGCCCTGGAATGGAGGGAGGATGTGGAATGTGCCAAACCACAGCAGCAGAGGCAAGACTGTGGGGGAGCGAATGCCTCAGTGTGAGCTCTGGGGCCTGCTGGCATCAGGGAGGAGCACACTGGGGCCATTGTCCTGCAGACGGGGCTTCCTGGAAAGAAAGTTTGAATATGTGATGGATGTGGGGAGCGTTCAGCACACACATTTAACTCAACCAACGGTCAATACATGCGGATCCACTCTGTGCAGAGCCTGTGGGGGATCCTTTGTGGGAACTGGAGATGCGTGGACGTGGGCTCCCCCCTCAAGAGGTCTGAGGCCTCTCAAAAGAGTAGGGAACAGCCCTAACTGGTTTGGCTCAGTGGATAGAGCGTCGGCCTGCAGACTGAAAGGTCCCAGGTTCGATTCCGGTCAAGGGCATGTACCTTGGTTGCGGGTGCATCCCCAGTAGGAGGTGTGCAGGAGGCAGCTGATCGTTGTTTCTCTCTCATCGATGTTTCTAACTCTCTATCCCTCTCTCTTCCTCTCTGTAAAAAATTCAATAAAATATATATATTTTTTATAGTGTTTTCCTTTCTTTCTTCTTTTTTTTTATTAAATCTTTATTGTTCAGATTATTACATTTGTTCTTTTTCCCCCCCATAACTCCCCTCCTTCCAGCTCCCACCCCTCCCTCCGCCCTCACTCCCCACCCACTGTGTTCATCCATAGGTGCACGATTTTTGTCCAGTCTCTTCCCGCATCTCCCACACCCCTTTTCCCCCCAAGAATAGTCAGTCCATTCCCTTTCTATGTCCCTGATTCTATTATAATCACCAGTTCATTCTGTACATCAGGTTATTTATTCACTTGATTCTTAGATTCATTTGTTGATAGATGCATATTTGTTGTTCATAATTTGTATCTTTACCTTTTTCTTCTTCTTCCTCTTCTTAAAGGATACCTTTCAGCATTTCATATAATACTGGTTTGGAGGTGATGAACTCCTTTAGTTTTTCCTTATCTGTGAAGCTCTTTATCTGACCTTCAATTCTGAATGATAGCTTTGCTGGATAAAGTAATCTTGGTTGTAGGTTCTTGGTATTCAGCACTTTGAATATTTCTTGCCATTCCCTTCTGGCCTGCAAAGTTTCTGTTGAGAAATCAGCTGACAGTCGTATGGGTATTCCCTTGTAGGTAATTGAGCCTCTTTCTCTTGCTGCTTTTAAGATTTTCTCTTTGTCTTTTGCTCTTGGCATTTTAATGATGATGTGTCTTGGTGTGGTCCTCTTTGGATTCCTTTTGTTTGGGGTTCTCTGCGCTTCTTGGACCTGTAAGTCCATTTCTTTCACCAGGTGGGGGAAGTTTTCTGCCATTATTTCTTGAAATAGGTTTTCAATATCTTGCTGTCTCTCATCTTCTGGCACTCCAATGACTCTGATATTAGACCGCTTAAAGCTGTCCCTGAGGCTCCTTACACTATCTTCACACTTTCGGATTCTTTTTTCATTTTGCTTTTCCAATTGGGTGTTTTTTGTCGAATCTTTGGTTTGATTCTTGAGTTCCTCTGGTCTGCTATTGGGTATAATATTCTTTATTTCAGTCCGTGTATGCTTACTTTCTAATTTCTTTATTGTAGCATCGAGGGTCTCATTAGTTTTCGTGAGGTCTGCACAAATTTATGGCAAGCCCTCAAAATTGCGATTCTTAGCTCCATATCCTCCATTTCTGTCATGTTTTTTTGTCTCCGCATCTTTTATGCTTTCTTGGTGCACCCCCTTGTGGTCTCTGTGCGCAGTCTTGTTCTAGCCAAGCCTTAATTGTTGTAGTTAACACTAGAGGGATTTGACCACCAGGCCGACTGGCTGTGCTAATCTAGCTGTGGGAAAACTTCAGTCAAATGGCTCTGTGCAGGGCTTGGGCAGGGCGGGTCCCATGGGATCAACAGGGCGGAGGAGGGAGCAGTTATGGCTGCTCTCAGTCAGTCCCCAGGGGCTCTGCCTCTCTGTCCCAGCAACAGCTGCAAACCTCGGAGGGACCGTAGCCAGACAGTCCTGCTTCTCCCGTTTGAGTCTGGGTCCCTAGAGACTCGCCCGGATCTGGAGCCTGAGTCTGAGGCTCCCTCCGGATTGAAACAGACAACCACGCCCTCAGCCACCAACCCGCGCTGCGCGCACTCCGCACCTTAGTATTTTACTTCAGCACTGCGCCTCCTCTGATTCTCGGTTCCTCCTAGTTGTAGAACTTCCATTCAGCCAGCCTTCCTGTGGTTCTGGATGATGTCCGTTCCGTCTTTTAGTTGTATTTTTGAAGTGGTTGTTAGAGGCAGCAAACTCCGGCGGTAACCTATGCCGCCATCTTGGTTTCCCAAAATATATATTTTTAAAAAAGGAGTAGGGAACAGATCTGCAGACAATTTACACAGCGACACAGTGCCAACTGTTACTGACACGCAATGCCTTGGGCTGGCCCTGCTGGTGAGAAGAAGAGGATTCTGGCCCTTGGGACAGTCAAGTTCCATCCAGTCAGCGTTTCACAAACACGTGTTTGGTTCATGCATTTTAGACGTCTCAAGCTTAGGGCTTGTGTGACACATGTAAGTGCAGACATTCACGTGTGGAGCTCAGAATCTATAGAAAAATAAGTCAGGGATAAAGGCCGCGGACGAGACCACCAGGGAGCAGGTGTGGGGAGGAAAGCCCAGCCAGAAGGACTGTGGGTGGAGTGGCTGGCGGGCAGCACAGGAGCAGGCAGCCAGAGATGGTGCATTATGTGAAGGGGCGATGCTGTATTAACAGAGACGTGACACACAGCAGGTCCTTCTGCAGCCATGAAGATGGGGCACAACATGAACGCGCCTCTGCCAGCTCACCAGTGAGAGGCTCTTTCTGCAGCCGAGGTGGCATGAGGGTGACACCGTCTACCCAGCCCGAGGATTGCCGAGCTCGGCCCTTCACGCACTAATTGTTATTGCAGTCAGTCCTCACTGCACCCTTCCAGGCAGGAACGGCCTGTGGTGTAGAGAAGGTGGGTCACTTGCCCAGATCCTGTGGCCAGCAGGAAGGAGGTCAGGATTCCAGCCCATCCCTGTTAGCTCAAGCTTTGCATGAACACTCAGCAGTTTTAGAACACAGCCTGTGGTGTGTCTGAGTAGGACAGGGCCTGTACAGGGTCTGTGAGGACATCTGCCTAAGAGAATCCAGAAGGTGCAAATTACCCAAAGCAGTCAAGCCTGGCTCTGTCCACACACTTCAGTGGTGTTAGGTGCTAAGCGGATCAGCTATGAAAACTGCTTCTCCATTATTTCAGCGACGCATGCTTCTTTCTCGGGTCTCTTGCTCCCACCATCTCCTAGGTTCTCTTGTACTTGGGGTTCAAGTCTTCTTTCCCAACAAGTTGTGAGACATGCCCTTCTGCCTTATTCTCTGGTCCTGTCTCCCACATCTGCTTCTCCTCTGCTCTTTCTCTGCCCTATCTTATTCTTGCTAAATCTAACATGCAAATTGCAATTCCTCTCATTTTTTCCAGTACATTCTGCTGTTCTCTAGTGCTCTGTGAAGCAAATTCCTGATCATAGTGGTTTTCGTTCACCAGCAGCGACTGTGGATAAAGAGGGCAAGGCGACCCTGTCTTCCTTCCTTGAGATGGTTAAATCAGCATCACCACTATCATCTAGTCTTGTTTCTAATTAATTTCAATTTTTCATGCATTTCCTCCCAGTTAAATAAATTGAGGGCTCCGTTCTTAGCCATCAAGCCTATCATTCTCTTTCTCCCCCTCTGAGGTGGGATGGGGAGCCAGCCTGGGATAGGAAATCCTCCCACATGAACAAAGGAGCCTTCCAGACTGTTGCCCTCTTCCCTGTGTGGGCACCCCAGCAGACGTTCTGGGCTACTCTATTCATTCTCATCTCTCATCCACCCCCTCTTTCCACGCCGCCCCCTCCCCCCCGCCCCCAACAAAAGCCACACACATCCTCTCATCGATCTCCTGACTTACACTGGAAATGATTTACCTGCCTGGGGCATCTAGTTCCATATGAGATGATATGAATATGTGATTTGCATGTATATATCAATGTTCTGGTCACTTTGTATTTCTTGTGAAACAGTCCTCTGGGTTTGTGCATGTGGAATGCTCTGCGGCTGACACATGGACCTATGTGAGCCTCGCTCCACATGGCCTGAACGGAATATAAAGGTAACTGAACATTTGCCCATAGGTATGGCATACACATATGACAGATGGGAAGAATGTATGTGAAATTAGTCAGGATTTTATTTTGCATAGGCAAAGAAGGGAGGTGATTTGCATAGCATGAACAATGAGTCAGTTTCCTTATGGGTCCCTGTCAGTGACCCCCTTACAAATCACATTATATAAATATTTCTGTCTGTGTTCTGACATACATATGGCACTATAACCTCTGAGTGGATAATAGCAGTTCTGAGGCATTCTCTCTATGGGATATATATATATATATATATATATATATATATATATATATAAAATTGGATGACTCAAAATAAGCTAAAGGGCTTACAGAAAGCAGTTATAAACCATCTGGAAAATTTAATTTGAAATAACAGGTACAATACTGTAATTACAATTTCAAACTCGGATTCAGTAATGTACTTTGAACCCATTACCTGTCTTATTCCTTTTACAATAAGAAACGCAAAGCTTTTAATTTACTTGATGTGGATTAATCTTTTTTTTCTCATGTTCAGAAATATGTACAATTACAAAATCGTTCAAAGTATTAATGACAATGTTAAATGATGATGTTTGCTAAGTGATAATGCTTGTTCTATAAGACGGCTGGAACATCTGAGGAATAAGAAACCAAACACATAAAGGATTTAGTTACCCTCTCCTTCAGTGGAAATTTACATTCTTCTGATTTTTGTCTAGAGGTGCGCATTAAGTACTGTGAGCAAGAAAAGCAGCTCCAAGACATACATGTGGATTCTGGCTCACAGTCGATCATCTGAGGACATGTCCTCAATTAACTAACGAGGCGCCGGGCAGCACTTCCCGGAGTGGCCTTGCACCCATTGGGACTGGATCCGGTGGGACCTACCCATCGACAGCAGCACATCATCACCACCACGCGGGTGGTGGCGGAGGGGCAAGCAGGCTGGGCTTCGCAATGACCCACGACGCCAAGAGGTGCAGGAAACTCGCGCCCGCAGACCGCGCCGTGGGAGAGCCTCCCGGGCGCTGCGCCCCCGCCCTCCGCCCGCGCCCCTGATTGGGTCCGCTCTCATCTGCCCACTCCACTCGGCTCCCCGAGGAGGAAGCCAGCGAGTCCGGCCCAGGCCTTGCCCCGGATCAAGCGGGCACGTTTTGTTTCTGAGGCCAAAAGGCCTTTGCTGCGATGTCGGGAGGACAGCCGACCGCCGACTTGGGAGTTTAAGGAGCCGGGCTCGGAGTTGGTAAGTTGTGCTGGAGGCGCTCTTTGAAATTCAGCTGGGCTTGGAAGGAAGCTCCTTGGGGGCGGGGGCGATTCCCCTCCCTGCCTTGCATTTTTTAAAACGAACCGCTGGGGTGAAGCTTTAGTTTTCCGTGGCGTTTCCTTCTTTTGTCACGGAGGCTCCTGGCATCAGCGGTGCGCCGGGAGCTCTTTCTGTCCCGGCTCGCGCTGGGAACAGTTGCTCTGAACAAGGAAATAAAATGATGGGGCAGCGGCTGAGGCAGCTCAGCCGAAACTTGCCTCCCAGAGAGGAGTAGCCGCCGCTCGCTCCGAACGAATGGCTTGCTAGTCTAACAGATTGTATCTCCTCGTGGAACTGTATTGAGACCAGTCGCTCCAGGGTAATTAACTAGAGATCGACGGTACGATTTTTAAAAATTGCTCTACAGCCGACGGCGTCCGACATGGGGTGACCCTCCCACCCCGCCACGGGGGGAAAAGGGGGTCCTCCCGCGCTGACCACTGAATGGGGGAAGCGCCAGCGCGCTTCTGGGAAACCTCAACTCCCTGATGAGTTGTTCTTTGTGCCCGGGAAGCGGAGACCGAGAGCAGCTCCAGGTCCGCCGTCCCGGCTCGGGCCGCCCAGCCTGCGCCCCGCCCCTGCGCGGCCCCGCCGCGCCCGCCGCGCCGCCGCAGGGAGCAGCCCGGGACCAAGGAAAGGAGGTTCGCAGTCTCTTCTGTCCGCCCCGGACCTGACGAGGTTTCTTAGGGCGGGAGGGGAAGGTGGCGAGGAGGTGAGGGCGCGCACGTTCGGGAGGGCGGCTGCAGGACTCCAGGTTGGAGTGCGCGCCGGGTCGGGCGCGCGGCTGGGCGTCGGGAAGCGGGAGCGGCCCCGCGCGCCACGGGGTCGGGCCGGGGCCGCGGGAAGCGCGGCGGGGAAGGGGGGCGCGTTTCCTCCCGAGCGCCTTTGTTCGCTGCTGCTTGGGGCGGGCGCCGACCACCGGGACCCCGGGCCGAGCCGCCGCCCCGGCGCTGCCGGCGCAGTGAGGCTGGGGGGCGCGGAGCTCCGCTGGGGGGTAAGTTTCCTGGGGGGTCTGGCGGGTTCCCCTACCCGAGGGAGCTCCGGCGAGGCGCCCGCCGCGCCCCGCTGCTGAGACCCGCCCGAGCGCGGGAGACCCGAGGCCTCCGATTTCGGCGGGGGTCCCCCAACCTTGCGCTGCCCCGAGGCTGCGGGGGTGAATTCGGGTAGGAAGCTTGCGTCGCGGTGGAAACTAGGAACCGCCAGACTGAGGAAGCTTGCGTGGCTGGGGAAATGGAGACGAGGAAGTGGGCCGGCTGGGGGGAGTGGGGAAGGAGACCTCTTCCTAGCGGGAAGGTCTCTGCCACTCTGTGGTTTTTTTGTTTTGTTTTTTTACTCTGCTGAATTTTATTTTGCACCCCAAAGTGACATACCATATAGGTGGACGTAGCAACTTTTCCTCTGACTCTGACTACACACCCTATCTTTTTGCTTTCCCCGTGCTGGTTTTCATAGATTATAGATCATGTTGAAGAGACACCTACGTTGAAGTTACACAGTGGTGGGTGGGGGCTTGTGGCTCATATTTAGGGTAATTCTCTGATGAAAGGACAGCTATTAGAATTGGACTTGGTCCTCTGTGTCTTTATTTTGGGAAACGTTGCCTGGTCCCGATGGGGGAGGGGAGAGAGATGTGAGAAGTTGACACTGACCCAGAAAAGGATGGCTGAAGGTAGTTGTATGAAGCAGTGGCGCTGAAAAGGTCCCATCCCGAACTTCCTGAAAGGGGACTGGTGATGAGCAGTTAAGGTTTTACTTTCTCAAAACAAACTTATGGTAGATTTTATATCTTGTCGCAGGGCATGGGGCGCTGCTTTTTGGGGGTCAACTCTTTTATTTTAAAGCAAGATACACTCAATATCTAAAATATTTCCTGTATATACTGAAAATGAGCCTTCTCTCCCCCGCTCCTTCTCTCTCCTGCTCCTTCTCTCTCCCGCCCTTTCCCCTGTCCCACAGACTTCTCCTTGAGTATTTACTGAGCACCCTCCGAGGGTGAGGCTGACTCTAACCCACATGAGTCCTCTGGGGGCTCACCCTGACACCTTAACATAGGGATGAGTCCTATGACAGGGGAAGGTCAAGCCAAGCGCAGAGAAACTGTTCTCCAGGAAGTGAGAAATGAGAGATGATTACAGACAGTAGTCTGGGGAGGGCCTGGGTTGGAGCAGGGGTTGAGTGGAGGGGGGCAAAAAAGGAAGAAAATGAGAGACATCTGTCATACCGTCAACAACAACAACAACAAATGTGAAAAAGAAGAAAGAGGCATACATGATATTGGACATAGTGCTTTGCCCCCTCCCCACAAAAAAAAAAAATCTCAAAAGGTGAAGAATTTTCAAAATAAAGTGTAGGCTATAGCAAATAAACTTTATATTTCACTAAAGTGGAGATCGAGTTTCCCTTTTATAAAAGACTGATTCAAATGATGAGACTGTAGGAAAAGAAAATAACTTTCTCTCAAATATAGCACAGGTTGAATCATAACTCATGGGTTTTGAAATGGGTCATCTTTTAAAATGGGTCACTTTGGCTAGAATCATTGCACTTGGTGACTTTCAAATTGTAAAAGTAGAGTTCTTTCTGAGGATCAGCTGCACTAGAATCTACGTAACAAAACAGGACATGGTAGTAGAAAGAAACCGGGAGAAATTCAGAAAGAACAGTGTAACTCTAGACCAGTGGTTCTCAACCTTCCTAATGCCGCGACCTTTTAATACAGTTTCTCATGTTGTGGTGACCCCCAATTTCATTGTTACAAATTGTAATTAAAGCATAGTGATTAATCACAAAAACAACATGTAATTATATATGTGTTTTCCGATGGTCTTAGGCGACCCCTGTGAAAGGGTCGATCGACCCCCAAAGGGGTCGCGACCCACAGGTTGAGAACCGCTGATCTAGCCGATCACAGTATGTATACACAGGGTGAGGCAAAAGTAGGTTTACAATTGTTTGTATAAAAAATAATAAAATACTTAATAAATAATAATACAAGACTAAACTCTGTTTCTTGTATTTACAACTGTAAACCTACTTCTGTCCCACCTCGTACATAGGTATAAATATCTTATCATGTTTAAAGATAAGAAAATTGGTCTAGTGCAGCCGTGGGCAAACTACGGCCTGCGGGCCGGATCCGGCCGTTTGAAATGAATAAAACTAAAAAAAAAAAAGACCGTACCCTTTTATGTAATGATGTTTACTTTGAATTTATATTAGTTCACACAAACACTCCATCCATGCTTTTGTTCTGGCCCTCCGGTCCAGTTTAAGAACCCATTGTGGCCCTCGAGTCAAAAAGTTTGCCCACCCCTGGTCTAGTGAGATGACCAAACTTTTTTTTAAATCCTCACCTGAGGATATGTTTTTATTGATTTTAAAGAGAGAATGGGAGAGAGAAACATGGACTGGTGGCCTCCAATAGGCGCCCCAACTGTATGCACCGAACTACGTATCCTGACCAGGGATCGAACCTGCAACCTAGGTATGTGGCCTGACCGGGAATCGAACCTGCAGCCTTTTTGTTGTACAGGTTGATGCTTCAACCAACTAAGCCACCCAGCCAGGGCAAGATAATCACACTCTGAATAAACAAAAGTGATTTTTTACATTTTAATGCCGGAAATTCAGAGGCTGACTTTGAATTTACGATTATCGTCCATAGTGAAGGCTTTGACACTCTCAGAAGCCAGTTTTCTACAGAAAGGAATGAATGTTCTACCAAGTCTGCAGGTAATAAGCTTCCCAGTTCAAAATACTATTACATAGCTTAAGATCCACCTAAGATTTCACATTTTATTCCTTTCCTCTAATTCTTTCTACAACTTTCTGATAGTTCTCTAGACAAAGTACGTTAAAAGGTTGACTGAAATCAGGTTTCCTCCATAATGTACAGGGTCTTATAACCTTTGGCTTTGCCATCATCATTAAAATGTATTTTTTAAGGGCTTGTGGAAACCATATTGTTCTTTCCTGTCAAGGACAATAGAAGACCGTGGTTAGATGTTAGTAGTAAGTGCCCTTAGCAATCAGATCAGTATTTTAAAAAACTCATATCTAGTGAATATTTTGCTAGAAGAATATTAGGAGTTTATCTCATCATTTTTAAAGGAAAATAATCCCAAAGACTATCAGCTATCTGCTGTCTATACCATCACAGTAAAGACCCATGAACAATTTCTAGAGAAAGGAAATTAGCGTACACCTGATCTGCACCATTTTTTGGCAATAAATTATCTCAAAGGATCTTCAGAAAACACTGTGTGGTATACGGTTTGGAGACAAGTCAAGATCATGTGACCAGTAAGTGGAAGCACCACTTTTGTTCATATTCTGAAACTCTTGGTTGCTTCACTCTCTTGCCTCCATCAGGTGGAGTCCAGGCTGCACCAGAACGTTTACTCGCTCTGGTAATGGATACACGCTGGAAGCATCACTGAAGCCTTCCCGGCATCCCACCTACCACACAGTAAGTGAGGAAATTAATATTTGTTGAATTAATTAACTGTAGGCATTATCTACTTCCAGGGCTGCCCAGCATAATGCCTGAAGCAGGGTAGGTGCTTAATAAGTGGTAATTAACTTATTATAATAAGTGTTGACTAGCTGAGACAGAACTGTATTATATATACACATTGCGTTTTACACCATTATTTTTGTACTCTGTAGTCCTTCAATCAAATGTTGTTTCCCAAATATAATGTCCAGAACAGGGCATATGAACTGCCTTCGGACAACAGGCTTATATGTATAGTTTATATAATAGGTTTATAATGGGTTAGATTGTCAACTTATTTCTAAATCACTAGCTTTTGTATCAGAATTTGACCTCAGCTTTGTATGACTCGTTCATTTCATCCAATACTTATTCAGCAAATACTTGCTTAAATCATGCCCTCTGAGTCCTATACTTTTTCTCCTTCCCTCCTTCTCACCTCTTTTTTTTTTTTAAGCCTCCTTTGCCACTTTGGCTCCCCTCCCTTAAATACCCTAATCTTTTTTTGTGGAGGAAAGGCTTTATACACCCACAAAGGACATGGACTCACCAGGTCCCTGGGTGCTCTGGAATCAAGAAAAGGAAGGAGGAAAAGTAGAGATGGAGGGTCAGGAAAGGGGTATGTTACAAAGGAAGTGAGAACAAGCTCGGACAAGATGCAGGCGGGAGGGAGCAAAACATAAGTGACTCCAAACTTCACACAGTGAAGCAGATTCTTTGCCTTCTTGGGCCGCTTCTCTTGGCCCTGCCCCACCTGCTCCCCTGCCCTCCCATCCTGATGGGAGCTCCTGGAAGGGCAGCCTTGCCAGGGCCGGGAAGGAAGGGCAGGAGAGGAGCTCAGGGAGGGACCAGGGCCTCAGCTAGAATTTATGAGGTTACGTGGTGAACCCCAAGTCTCGGGACTTCAGTTTCTTCTTCAGCAAAATGGGGAGATGATTTCTCCCTCATAGGTTGTTGTGAGAGGTAAAGGGTTCGTACATGTGTAAGGCATTCCGAACGTGCCCGCTGTACAGTAAACACACCCATGTTAGCGACTGTTGCTAGAGTGGGCAACGGAGAAGTTTGCTCCTTAAGTGGGCAAGCACAAAACAAGAACTGTGTTTAAAAGAGCAAACAGCCCTGTCAACCAGCAGCTATGCTCAAGAATGAATACAGAAGGCCAAGCTTAGAAAGGCAAATGTTTGACCTTTACGAGGCCTACTTTATAGTTCAGCTTCTTTGTTTGTTTCAAATTATGTATACTCAGACTCGTTACTGGAAATTTTTAGTGACTTTTAATATAACTCCTGGAATATAATACTATCTGCTCTGTAGTCCTGTGTTACCAGTTTCCTTAGCACCTGTCTTTACTTAGGTCCTGTCTTTGTTTGTTTGTTCACTTGGTATTTCCCTGTCTTTATTTTTCCCATAACCAGCAAACAGAAATCTATACCTTTGTGTGACTTATAAAGAAGCATATAACTGAGTTTACATGGATGAGGCTTATTACTGGATTCACATGGTTGGTTTTATAACCTCGCTCTTTCTCTGTCCCACATCCATGCTTGCTGTGTTGGCATTGAACGACTTTCGACCAACACTGAATCAAGAATTAACTCTTTAAATGTATTCTTTGTGGAGGGATAACAACTCCAAATAACTTCTAATCTTTGTCCAAGGTTTGAGCAAAAGTTTCATAGCTACTTACAGCCACAAAAACACCTAAAGATAACTGTTGGGACTAATATTATTAGAGACTAATATTAGAAAAATATTAGAATTTTTTACAGGCCTTATGTTAAAAACAATTAATTATTTTATTGCTGAGAGAGAGAGAGAGACTAACATTGATCAGTTGCCTCCTGCACGCGCCCTGATTGGGGATCAAACCCACAACCTGGGTATGGGCATCAACCCGGAATCGAACCCACCACCTTGTGTACGGATGATGCTCTAACCAACTCAGCCACACCAGCCAGGGCAACACCCAATTTGATTAAATAATAAAATAAAAGTGAGAGAATATGTGAGTTGTGTATTCAAATTTCAGATTGCTTCCTTCCTTCTTGAGCAAATAAAATAGGTAAAGAGTACTAAACAGAAACCAGTTGTGTTTCTCAGCACAAGTTACTACAACTAATGTGATAAGAAAAATCTATGGGAATCAAATTATAGCCTTTCCAGTAAATTCAGGGCTTTTTATTCCTGAGTTCTTTTAACATGGCAGTTTGGCTCCTAAGGATTGGTCCTAGCTATGTTTAACAGGGAGGAGAGGATCAGACAAGCCAGGTAAAAATTCTTGAAATGTAAAACAAAATGTAAAGGTGGGACAGAAAATATCATCATTTTTCCTTTTGTGTTATGCCCGGACAGGAAACAAAAATTGTGTTTCACTGGGACTTTGGCATAAAAGTTTAAATGTAAAAGGTACATAGTACTTGGGCTTTTTAAGAAAAATTGCAGCTTTCTGGAGGAGCATCATTAGTTCAAAATCATACTTGCATCACTTCAATGATCCTGGCCCTGACCTTCAGTATATGCCTCAGGGAATGGAGGGGGCAGGAGCCTGGGAATCCGAGACACACATGGGAATGAGAAGCTGACAATGTGTGACTCTTCTCCTATCTCAGTGAGGCAGGAAGTAAACGCATCAGCTAAGAGTGAGGAAGACAGACCTCAGAGAGGGGAGACTTAGCATGGCTGGTGAAGAGACTGGGAGAGGGAGAAGGTCGGGACAAGTGAAGGACAGTCACACAGCACGGAGTGCCCTGCCCACAGCTGGGTGTGGCCATTGGCAGGGATGCTGCCTGCGGGTGTCACACCTTCCCCAGCAGCCTGGCGGGTGTTGTAGGAGCAGAGAAGACGGGGGTGACCTGAGGTCTGGGGCTGTTGGGGTGGCAGGACGGGAACCGAGGAGAGGAGGGCGAAGGTGCCAGATGGTTCCTCATCCAAGGCAGGGAGGTGGGTCAGGAGCTCGCTGGGTGGGGTGAGGGGGTTGGGGGCAGGGAGAGGTGGGCAGAGTGTTCTAGATGAATATATAGAGGTGGTGGTTGAAGATGAGTGTACTGGAGAGTATGTGTACTTGAGTTTAGAATTTAGAGGGAATGAAGTTCCAAGCGAAGCCATGTAAAGAAAGTGTGTAGCGGGGAGGAAATGTGAACACAGTGGTGCATACATCATAAAATAAGGCTTCCTTAAGCTTCTGAGTGTCTTCTTTATGCTCAGAGCGCCCACCGCATCTTCAGTCCCGCGTGCCTCCATCTCATGACCTGCGGGACTTCTCTACCCGCTGTGTCCGCCAGCACCTCACACTCAATACAAATCTAAAACCGAACACGTC